ATAATAATCCCGATCCCCGATTTTTTTCTCCCGATTCCGATCTTTTGAAAATCACGTGATCGGCTCTGATCCCCGATCACGTGATCGGATCGGGACATCTCTAAGCATAACGTATACTTAATACAATGAATATGAAGTTTATTGGAAAATCTCAGATTATTTTTTGGAAATGGGGAGTAGTATCAAAGCAACATTTTAAGAGTACAAAACCCTGATCTGAAATTAAATGAATAACTTTGATTTGTTATGAAAATGTGGTGATGACTGACTGGTCTTATAAGATCAGATAAGATGGAGCTTTATTCATCCCTGTGGTGATATTCAGGGTGTGAGTTGACTGGCTCTGATATCGCCTTCAGTACCATTAAATGTAAATCTTTAAAAAGTGTTCCTGTATATGCTACACAAGGTTTCTGTTTTGAAGAAATGTATTAAAAAATAAGGCATCACAGTTTTTACCTCTAAATATATTTCAGATCTCTCCTGTTATTGCATGGCATCAGTGTGTGCTACCCACTCACTGATAGTGTGTGCACTGTGATCCTCTGGCACATGGCCTATAGCTATATGACATTCAGAGAGAATGCAGGGCAAGTCTTCACATCAGCCTGAGTCTAGGGCACATTCAGCGAGGATGCAGTGTCAGCATGTCTCACAGCTGGTACCTGTTCAGCACACCCACACACTGACACAACATTTCCACTTTAAACTGATACATTAACAAAACGCCTGGACTTATAATATGTAAAGGTTGCTGTCAGCCTATTAACTGATTGTTCACAGATTCGTTTTAAAATGCCTTCTGTAACTGTCGGTGTGCGTGCCCACCCTGACCACTTCAATCCACTGCTATATGAGGACAATGAATAGACTGACTGTAAAATATATTAAGTTTACTTATTGGTTTCATGGTGTGCACAGACTTTCTCGGGATAAAGACAAATTATTTGTCAAGTATTTCTGTGACTTTTAATGACTGAATAAAATGTTATGAATTACCCCCCCAAAGCTCTCCATTCCAGTGAGGCTGTTAAAAACATCTATACACACTTTTAAAAAAAACACGGTACAACTAATTATGCCCTTAGCCTTACACCCAGCGCAAGGGCTCCAGAATTGGGAACACACGCACACGTCACACACACACACACACACACACGTCCGTCACACACACACACACACGTCCGTCACCAGTGTTGGGCAAGTTACTTTTAAAAAGTAACTGGTTACTTTACTAGTTACTGCTCTGAAAAAGTAACTAGTTACGTTACAAGTTACTAAATTATAAAAGTAACTATAACTAGTTACTTTACTTTACTTTAAATAATAAAAACAAATTTAAAAAGGTTTTGTGTTTTTTTCTGTGTCACAGTGAGAGAAAAGACAACCTGCTATCATTGTAGCAACTATCATAATGAAATGTAGTGGTACAATAAAGACAAAATAGATGTTTGGAAATGTTGACAGGCATCTTTATTGTAGCCTCAACTTTCTAATACATTCTTATAGTAGTTTAAGTTAACAATACAATTTTGGCAATGTGCAAGTAAAACAACTGCACTCTTTTGGCAGTGTAACAACAATTGAACAACAACACTCTTTTGGCAGTGTAACAAAAAAAATAAATAAATGTCAGACTGGCATTACAAAAAAAAAATTGAAGACATCTTCAACATTGGCAGATTAACTAATGTTCAGTCCATCACAAATAACAGTAAATACAAAAAGGATAAATGGAGACAGATTATAAAATAAGTTAGCCTCACACTGGTCATATTAGCATAACCAAAATCATATTGTCGGATAAACTTATGAAAGAAGCGGTTTCAGCCTTTCAAGTAACAGACTAGCCGGCTAGGCACCGATACGCACCTGAGATGCTTTTCAGTAAGACTGCACATGTCTATGGCAGCAATGCATAACAGCTAGGTCATCTCAACAGCAAGAATAAGTAGCGCGCGAACACATACACCCTAGAGTACTTCAGCTCTCTTCTACGACAGCAGAAGGTAGTGTTTAAATAACTTTGCTAACCGCTCTATCTACCCCCTCAAATAAAGCATATCAGCAGCAGTTCGCCAGAAAACATGCCTCCATTAACAGTCCTCTTCCTAGCGCTCAAGCAATGATTGTACCTCAAAAGGAGAAGCCCTTCAAACTTTTGATGCTGATAGCCTGTTCCTCTCGAGCGCCGAATCAGGGCTCCGCAGGGTAAGAGTCTTCTACTGGGCACTGATGGAGTGCTGCAGGTATATCTAAGAGAATTCTTCTTATCAAAGGAAATGATGAGAACTAGTTCTAAAACCTTTGCTCCTGATTGAGGTAATCAGCTACTTCGCGTTTCAGCTGAGATCCTCATCTCTTGAGAGAGGAAGAGCTCTGCCTTTGGCGACCTGCCTGGTGCTGGGTGTGGGTGGGTGCACTTGTGCCTGGTTGCGCTGCCCGCTCGCAGGAATCCGTTTGCGGCATTCGCGAGCAGACTTGCCTTGCCTGGTCTTCTCTCTCTGTCCGCAACCACGTAGCTTGACTTGGGTAGTGTCAGCAGCAGCGCAGGATAGCAATCCAGCTGCAGAACCGTGGACATTTAAATCCTGTGTTGAATTGACGAAATCTAGTTGAAGTGCAAAAAAAAAAAAATCATTGAGTTCGTGACAATATGAGCAGTTGTCTTTTAACAATTGCATTATACATGTAATATGCCTAGTTCATATGAGCATTTTTTTAGGACAGCAGAATGGTAGGGCTAACCTAGTACTACCGGTCGAACATGTACATTGCGCAGCTTTACAAGCTAAAATGCTTTGGGCAGGTTATTGTTTCACACTAAGACATATCACAGCACTGTCAGCACCCAGCTATGCAGCAATTGAGGACGTTATAAAGAAAGCAAGAGGCTGATAGATTAACATGATTAGAAATAAATCGACAGTTCTCGATACTTGCAATTGCATCTGAGCACAAGAGATTCTGTAGTGCCATTCTCTTTTGCCACGAGGCTTGACATCAATGTTCCAGTGCGGGTAAGAGTGTGACATAATAACGATCGACAATTCTCTTCTCCGCTGAAGAATGCGTCCAGTGCCACTGTAGTGGAATGCATGACGGAGCAGTACTACTCGAGAAACTGAACGTTCCTTCACTGAGAGCATTTCATAGCTGGAGTGGAGCAGAGGGTTCACCCACACTGGTATGGCCAGAAATCGAGCAGGCGCATCATAAAATGATCGCACCCTAGTTGTGCAAGTACTACGAGCTTCTTCTCAATAATCTCGTCACCGAGCTCCGAGGACGGCCTGTGGTAGACAGACTGGCCTTGTCAGCAACCCTGCAACACTTTGTCGTAGCATTTCTGTACGACTGTCTTTGTTCAGGTGTTGAAGGGCAGCATATCAATCAGTCGCATGAGAAGATTCAGCCTGCTAAGAGAAGATCTAGATGTACTCACCTTAGCCCCCACGGATCAGATGGCATCAACAGCAGCAACTCCATCTCTGCAGCCTGATGGGATAAGTGGTTGCTCCAACACTACAAAGACAGTCTACAGAATGGCTACGACAAAGGCGGCAGGGTTGTCGGACAAGGCCCAGTCGCTCACACAGTCTCGAGGCTCGTGACGAGATTACTTGAAGAGCAAGTGCTGGCTGGAGGGCTTGCACAACTAGGTGGAATTCATATTTATGATGCCCTGGCTCGAATCTTGGAAGACAGTGGTGGAGTGACACCATCTCTCGAACCCAGAGAAATGCTCAGTGAAAGGGAATCAGTCTCAGAGAGTACGTACCGTCATGCATCACTACAGTGCAGGCGGCGTCTCAGGCGAGAAGAGAATTGTTATTATGGACACTCTTACGCCGCAGCTGGAAACATTGTCCAAGACTCTGACAAGAAGAAGGACCACAATCCTTGTTGGCCTACCAGCAATTGTGCAGGTAAGAAGTGGAATTTATTTATCAATTAATCAAATCAGCCTCTTGGCTTTGCATTTTATAAACTCATCATACGGTGGCATAGGCTGTGTGACAGTGTGATTGGATATGTACTCAGTAGTGTAGAAACAATAAAGCCTGGAAGCATTTTAGCGGTAAAACGTGCATGTACATGTTTCGTGTCACAGCCAGACACGAAGTAGGTGGCGGCCTACACATTGCTGGTCCTACAAAATGCTCATTATGAAGCAACAAGGATATAATCAGTAAATGCTTGCTAAAAAAAAAACTGCTCAATGTACTAAACTCACAGATTTTTGTCTTTTTGCAGCTCTAACATAATTCAGTCAAACAATCAAACAATTTACAAGTTCTTGCAAGTGAAGGAATGCTACCTGGCGCTGTGCACTACCAAAGTTCCAAGCTACGTTGGTTTGCGTGACCAGGAGAAGCCGGAAACGACAAGGCCAAGGCACAGCTGCTCGCAGAGCCGCAACGGATCCTGGAGCAGGAAGACAACCAGGTACAAGTGCACCCACCCAACACACAGCAGAGCGCAGGCTGCCAAAGAGCAGAGTTCTTTCCTTCTCAGAGGATGAGGAATCCTCAGCTG